GATCACTGGAAGCCTGGAGCGGACAGCCAACACAAATATTGTAACTTCTGGTAGATCATCGCAGTGTCTCACGCCTTTACAAAACAACAGTGTGTATCGCGCTTATTCATCGTACTGTCTGGCTACCCGTTCCAGTTGGATTAGGAAGTCTACCAATTAATTATTTTAGGAGATAATGATATGCAAAAAATCTCTTTAAATAGTCAGTACTTTCCATGGAAAGTCACTTTCCTCTTGTTGTTTCAACCTGAGTACATCGCTATTGCCTCGCTATTTATTTATAAATATGCCAAAAGAAAATATTTCACGTTCATATCGTTGCTAAGTAGCCTATGATGTTTCTTTCAAGTTAAAAGTTATTTCTACTGCCATCGAATGGGGAAATAAAAGGAAAACGGCCGACCATTAGGGTCTGAATGAAAGACAAGTTCGAGACTGGGTCAAGCAGAAAGACAAACTTGCCATCCGTTCTAAATCATCAAAACGCCTCGCTGGGGGAGGCCGCTCAGTTGCTGACATTGAGCACGACGACAGCCTCATGCAGTGGTTTGAAAATCAACGGCAAAATGGGAATGGTATAACCAGTAAACAGTTACAACGTCAAGCACGCAGAGTTTCCGAGTGTTTGAGTTTTCAAGCCTCGAATGGCTGGTTACGCCGTTTCAAGCGTCGCCATGCGCTGTCAACTCGACAGAGAACGTCAATCGGACAAAAATTGCCTCCAGACTATGAGGAGAAAATCATGCTCTTTCGTAGTTACGTCATTCGACTTAGACATAAAAATAATTACCCACTTTCTGACATATACAATATGGATGAAACGCCACTCCGTTTCGACATGCCGGGCAACCGGACACTGGAGCACGAAGGTGCTAAGACTGTGCACATTAAGACAACCGGCAACGAGAAAAAGGGATTCACGGTGTTTTTGACTGCCGCAGCCGATGGTACAAAATTAAAGCTGGTAATCATTTTTAAAGGAAAGCGTGACCAGTCGCATTTATCAAAATCAAGTGTGCAAGTTCAAGTACACCCTAAAGGTTACATTGATGAACCAGGTAAATTTATTTCATCCCGTGTTTTGCTACTGTGTCAAGTGTGCCCTATTTTATTCTAGCCACATTGCAAGTGTTTTCTCAATGTTTGTCTCGTGGGGTCGTGGGCGTCTTGGAACCGACGATGAATATTAATTAGAGTATCTATGTTGTTGCATATGCATACATGTTTGAGAGATTTTACCGGCATTCCATGACGTTATTTTTTTTTAGGTTGCCTTGACTATAATCGCAGGACTTTTCCGCGCCAAGATGATGATAGTAGAAAGCTATTAGTTTGGGACTCGTGTTCTGTTCATTTGACGGCCAAAGTAAAGGCCGCACTCGCCAAGAAAAACATAGAGGTTGTGGTGATTCCAGGAAGATTGACCGCAATTCTGCAACCACTTGACGTTGGCGTAAATAAGCCAGTGAAGACAGTGATGCATGATTTGTGGGATGTCTGGATGAAGGAGGGTCTTGCAGAGTTCACCCCATCTGGAAAAAGGAAATGTCCAACTAGAGATTTGGTTGTGGACTGGGTTGACAAATCCTGGAAAAGTTTGTCGGGAGACACAGTCCGGCGATAATTTTTGAAACCGGGCATCTCCAACAACTTGGATGTAACTCAAGACGACCATATTTATGATGATTTGGAGACTGATGACGAAGACATCGACCTGGACGCTATTGGCAATGAAATTGCTAATATATTTGACAGCGACAGCGAAGACAATGATGACGAATGAACATGCCCACAATGATGTCCCGCAGATCGAGAACCTGTTTCTCATCGTGTTTTAGTCGCAACATGGATACCTTCCATGACTAAACACACAAACAAAACGGCCCTTTTCAGGGCCACCACATCCTCCAAAAAACGATATGTCTTATACCATATTACTATTCTGTGTTTTTTATGTTTGTAATCATGTTTTGTTTAGGTGGAATCTTCTGTGAAGTTGCATATGTAATAAACACCAAAAAATCGTGATAAAACACCCCCAAAATCTGAGCATCCATATTTCTTATTTACCATATGGCCCTATTACAAACCGCACCCTAACTTTGAGGTTCAAAACTAATTATTGAAGTTGCAACATTGTAATAAAAACCACGGTTAGTAATAGGATTTTAACGGTACTCACCGTTCCAATTCATCATTATCAGATTGTTTCAGTTTCCATGGTTTTTGTCCGGGTTTCCAATGAGTAGGAGGAGGACTTTCATCTGAGGCATCACCAGAACTGAAATAATTATAAACACAGTAGTAAAATATCATGTTTGTCATAATGTAATCCTGTTAATATTAATTGTATTTCCTATAACTTTATTTTCACAATCGATACAGAGGGCACCAGAACAACATAAACATATATTGTTTTAATTCCAGTTCAACATAAATTTTTGACTAGACAGATATGTGGTGATATTGTTTATCACAGTGTACTGTCTTTTGTTCATATTGACCTCCTCCCCATGATGGATTGCTCTTCACCTCTTTGTAAGCAGTGTAAGTGTCAACGTATAGACAGCCATTTATCTGCTAAAACAGATTTTGGATGAGATGCTTATCCTACGGCTTCTTTGAGTGAATAGGAATCAACTTCTTTCATAGATGCATCTTGAAAGTATATGTTTTTAAGTTTAAACACATTGTTCAATATTTTGCTTGAGAGAACATGTAAGCACACAAACATAGTTGTGAGTTCTTTTTATTTAAACTTGACCGTCACATAGCTCCAGATGAGATTACTTTCGCAGTCTTTCTGGGTGATACACGTGTTTAAAGATATTATGAACAGCGTCCGGATTAATTTCAGAAATTCCGTCGCGTTTCAGAAAGTTTTAATTTTCAAAACTTATAAATATTTATTTGTACTTTTAGGCTAGTGAGGAGATTATAATAATTTTTTCATTTCACATTAACACTGTTTTTTTCACCCCCCAGACCTTTTAAAAAGTCACTTCTGGCCATTATAATGGCCACTATTTTCTTAATGGCCAGAATATTGACAAGAATTTTAAAAACACTGGTCAATATTTTGGCCAACAAAGACACTAAAAAATACAGCAAACATCTAAAAGAATAGAATGACATTCCATGCAACATCTCATGGTGTGTCACATAAGCAGCTGGGTATGTGCAACAAGTCTACATCTACAATATCACATCTTTCCCAGTAGTTTACGTAATCCATTCTTAAAAATATGCTTTATTTATTATCACAACAAACAAGTTTACGTACCAATATTATTATACCTGGAGTAGACTTGTTTTTGTTTTAAATCAACAAATAAAAACATTGTATTATCGTAAACTTAAAGCATCAAGTCACAAAGTTATAGTTGTGTCAACTGTAACTCTTTTTCAAA